GGCGCTGACCTCCAACAAAAAGAAGAAGTAATTTTATCGGAATACAAGAGGTTTTTCTTTTCGAAATCCGAATAGAAAGGGTACAGATTGTATTCGAATACAACGTGTAGGACCGTTTCAATTTCGAAAAAGGACTGCGGCCTCCTCGGCCTCCTACTCGCAGCTACCGGTCCTACGCGTTCCTGGCCCTTGCAAGGCCCCAAAACCTCAAATGCCCACCCTCCCGTCGACCACCAACGTTGAAATTGACGTTGAACGTTGAATGTCTCAGGGGGGGAAAGCGCATCCCTGACGGGCTGAACAGGCCGCCTGGGATGTTTGTGACCTCTAAACGACAGGCCGCCTTTCCTGGTAGCCGTAGGCTTGTGGCCGCGTGTTCATTCTGGTCCTGGTCCTATTCGTGGTCCTGCCCTTGTGGTCGCAGGTCAGTAACGTCATAGGCCCTCCGGACCGCAGGTGCTACGGTCGCACCTCAGTAGGCGTGGCCTTCGTTGTCTCTATTTTTCAATGTGGTCCTATTAGCGCCTGTAATTTTGGACTCAATGCGGCGCGCAAAACCCTTCAAGTGCGTCGCGCGCCCTGTACGTGCATCGCGGCGGATTCCGAGATCCCCTGGGTCCGTCCGGGCCTGGTCTCGTCGCACGGCGACGATTCCACCACCACCTGTCCTGTGGTGGGAGTACAAATTGGCGGGCGAGGAAACGCTGAGGGGACGATGTGGTCCTGCGGCGGCGAAGAGGAGGTCAGGAGAGAGAAGCAGACAGGCGCCTGGGGCTGGGTGCACGTGTCGAGACCTGAACGTTAGATAGACCCACGTGGCACTGCTGCCAGCGTGGCATTAACTTTCTTTGATGAATCGTGCCACATTACTCGGTCTTGTTCGCAAGGGGCTGGTTATCCTGCGCCCGACTTCGGGGCAGCGACCGGCCTCTCTGCTTCCGACCGTCTACTTCTGGTCGGCGACCGGTAAGGGGTCGAACAGTGCGACAGGAGTGCGTGACGCGAGCACAGAGACGTCGCACAGTTTCCCTGCAGCACCGGCGGCAGCGGCGCCGCCGCCGCCCAGCGGCGGCGGCGGCAGGGGCAGGGGAAGCAGGGTCTCCCGCTCCACGTCACCAATTCCACTTGGCGGAGCGTCAGAAGCTTGTGCCATCACCAGCTCCTCATCAAGACCGTCGGGGCCATACGTCTCCAATCCGACTCAGCAGGCATGGCCTGTGGTAAGGACGCTGCCAACCCGTAGCGCGCCTCCCAACGCGACGTCCTCGCCCATCCCGATCTCAACAACACGGAGGACCTCGGCCAGGTCGTACGGAAATGGCCAGGCGGGAGCCGTGCTGGAGGAGGAGGAGGAGGAGGAGGAGGAGGAGGAGGAGGAGTGGGGGGGTGGCTGGCGGGCTGGAGGCGCACCCGGACGAGGCGGCCTCCCTGAGGTAGATCTTGAACATGCCATCAGGAGGGAGATCGAGCGAGAAAGGCGCGAGTACACTGCTCCTTTTCTGAGGAGGACGGGACCGCCGGCGCCTTTCGAGCTGGAAGATGAGCCGGGATCGGGACAGGTGGCGTTACGACGGGTGTATGGGTTGTACGGACAAGAGCTCGTACGGGTGTGCTGCTCGCTTCGCGGGCCCGATGGCGTGAAGCTGGAGTTTTCGCTGCCATCTGGTTGGCGGGAAGGGGAAGGGAGGGGGTCAATCTTTGGTGAACCGGGGGAGGGCGAGGGTGGGGGGGGTGGATGGGAAGGAGGGACGGCGGCGGGTGACAGGCGGCGGCGGGTGGCCGTGAGTCCCACGCTGTTCACTGTCACGGTTGTAAACAAGTGGGATCGGTACGCGTCGGTCTTGGAGTTCCACTGCTCGACACGTGGCAGTCGGGTGACCATCGATCAAGTCTTAACTGGACAACGCGGGGAACACCGTACGGCAGCCGCGGCGGCGGGGACATCAGCGGATGCAAATGTCGACGAGGAAGAGGAAGAGGAAGAGCAAGAGGAAGAGGAAAGGGAGGGTGCTTGGAGGACGGAGCCCCCGATGGCTATCCCCTGCGCTCGATCATCCTATCCCGGTCCCGACTTCGCGGCTCTGGACGGTCGTCTGCAAGCGGGCTTTTACAAGTACCTGGCCGATCGCGGTGTGAATGGTGACACGTGTTCCTATCTTGTCGCTATTTTGAAAGACAAGGAGCGGCGCGAGTACGTCAGATGGCTGGAACACATTGAGAGGTTTCTTCTCATCGAGCAGGATGACGTGGCAACCTCTCGAGGCCTTCCCAATTATTATGATGATGATCATCATGACGATGATGGCAGGCCGCGACCTTTCCAGTCGGCCAGGATGACGTCAACCTCAGAAGCATTCCAAGTGGATTAAGAAGATTTATAGCGAGCAAAAAAAAAAAAAAAAAAAAAAAAAAAACCTCTATAGTGAGCGTAATTCGAATAGGGCATTGCAGCATTCGGTTCTGGTCGGGATATCGCAGATTTGTTCTTTTTGCTTTTCTTCTTTGGGCTTTGACAAGCTCTTATGTATTGATTGTTTTGGGAGTTGTTGCGCCTGCTTTCTTATGTATTGGTTGTTTTGCCAGGTGCACCTGCTGCGGGTGCGGGTCGCTCAATTCGATGGGTCTTGTCGCGCATGGCATGGTTCCAATTAAACCCGCCGGTGCAGCAGCTCAAGGGTGAAGGGTCTCTTCAGACCAAGTGGCTGGTCAAGCTCATCAAGTACCTGCAGCTACCCTGGGTGCCACTGGTTTTGAAGCAGATCCGGAGCATGGTGAATTACAGCCGTACGATGGAGGCGAGTGCGTATTGGAGTTTTGAGATGGTCGTTGTTGAGAGACGTACACGTGGCCGCGTTTTGAGGTGTTCCACGTGAAGAACCATTGTATGCATGCCATGGAAGACACTCTGGATCTTGATTTCGATTTGATTAGCAGTAGAGGCGTTCCTTCCGGAACGATTAGCAACATTGATGGAAGGGCGGGCATACTCACACTAGGACTTTTTCTACTGAGCTCTGGTGGACGTGATTGCAGTCAGATGCATCCTGGTCCGGTCGTAATTGCAGTCAGGTGCATGGCACGTTTGTTTGAGCCGATCGTCTCTTATGCGGTCGTGGTGAGGCCTCCTTTTCTTTACCTCTGTCGTTGCCTTTTGGCTGCGTGCGTGCAAGTGGGGGGTCCTTGTGACACACGGGGATGGATGGGGGCAGCCAGCGCTCAACCTTTCATCCACGTGGCTGGCCTTGTACGTATAAGAGGTGATGAACAGGTGGGGCTTTCCCTTTCCTTCCTTCTTTTCCTTCCCTTGTTTTGCTTTTTTCCGCCTTTGCGCTCCGATTCACAGAGTGACAATATATATATATATATATTGTGACGATATATTGTGACGATATATATTAACGTATGACTTGAACGAGGGACATGGCCATGTGGCGAGGTGGATTCGATGCGTGGCTGTGTGTTTTAAGAAGATTGAGGGAAAGTTTGTGGGATCGTTTTTGTTGTGATCTAGCTCAGCGGGCAGCAGCTGCACTGGCTGCATCACTGTTAAACCATCAGTACTTGGCCCAGCTATTGGCCGCGGGAAAAAATAGAGTAGAAACGTTTCTAGTCGGATGAATTTGGACGCTCCTGTAGTAGCCCGTACGTTTCCTAAAATCGTGGCGCATTAAGGGGCACCACTCTAGGAAGTACTTGTCGTTTAAAACGTCGTCGTCCCCGTGGGAATCAATGAGACCTGCTCGTTGAATGTTTGGCCGGTAGGGAACCAATTAGTAAATTGTAGTGATCACGTGGTTGCATGCCACGTGGCGGCACGAGGGGAAGTAGTTCTCATTGGCATTGTGCAGGATTTGATTTGTTGTTGATGCAGATCGACCTAAATGGACATGTAGATGGCCTCGTTTTTTTGGTTGGGGAAGAGAGAGAGAGAGAGAGAGAGAGAGAGAGAGAGAGAGAGAGAGAGAGAGAGAGAGAGAGGAATACAATTTTTGGATTCCTTTTTAAGATTGAGAACATCCTCAATTTGACTATGAAAACCTTTAAATAACTCGCCCATTTCATTATTCACTTGTCTGCTGTTCCATTCTTTCAAAGGACATTGGGAGCCGAGAGAGAGAGACACACAGGTCGAGCGAGCGAGCGAGCGAGCGAGCGAGCGAGCGAGCGAGAGCGAGAGAGAGAGAGAGAGAGAGAGAGAGAGAGAGAGAGAGAGAGAGAGAGAGAGNTGACCGGACGCACCCCCTGAAGAGAGAGAGAGGGAGCGAGAGAGCGAGCGAGAGAGAGAGAGAGAGAGAGAGAGAGAGAGAGAGAGAGAGAGAGAGAGAGAGAGAGAGAGAGAGAGAGAGAGAGGAGGAGGAGGTGGAGAAGGAGGAGGAAAAGGGAGGAATGTTGTGGTGCTCGCGGTTAGAATGCAGGTTGAGGAGACGAGGCTAGAACAGCCATGCAGACTACGCCTGGTTGTACACTCCGTTGTCAGGTGTGTGCCATTCTGTGTTCTCCTCTCTCTCTCTCTCTCTCTCTCTCTCTCTCTCTCTCTCTCTCTCTCTCTCTCTCTCTCTATCTATCTATCTATCTATCTATCTCTCTGCGGTCCTGATCACGCTATTCGCCATGCGTGGTTGTGCGGAACTATGTATTCCTTGGTGTACCTTTTGACGGGTGGAACAAATGCATTTGTTCATTTCGGGTTGTGTAGGTGTCGCTCGTTCAATAGGTGTGTGGATACAGGCACGATTATTTCTTACCTCCCCCTCCCTCCCTCCTTCCCCCCTCTTCGGCTCTTCCTCTCCCCCCCACCCTCGCAGTGATTTTCTTTCTTTCTTGTTCCCGATCTTTGAGACCCGGCCAGCCAGGCAGGGGGGCATGCGCCCTGGAAAACCTTGCGTATAAGAACATGGCAAGGATTGAAAGAAAGAAAAGAAAAGAAAACAAACTTTAGGCTAGGGGGGCAAGGATTTGAATTTTGAACAAAAAGGGGAAAAAAAAAAAAAACAGGAAAGAAAAGGAAAGAAAAGAAAACTAACTTCATACCTGGATTGCACGTGGCCTGAGCATTCAGAATCGAACCTTACTCTCCAATGCGGTGATGGGACACTAAGGGTATGAAGAGGGTTTAAAGGGGTTTGGAGGGGTTTAAAGGGGTACAGCCTCTTCAGCAGCAATCTCGACTGCAAAATGTCCTTCGACCAACTATACATCAGAGAATCTCTCTCTCTCTCTCTCTCTCTCTCTCTCTCTCTCTCTCTCTCTCTCTCTCTCTCTGTGTGTGTGTCTCTGGCGAGCGAAAAAAATAAAATAAAAATTGTTGAATTCAAAAAATTCCGGGGAAGGAAGTATATTGTGTAGAATTGCAATACAAACGACGTTTGGCTGAGGGTTACCTCAGAATTCCTCACAGAATCGGAGATTAAAAAAACGAAAAAAGGAAACAGAAACACACTAAGGCATGCCCCTTTAAGCCCCTTTAGCCCCTTTAAAACCCAATTTATACCCCCCTTCCCCCCCCCTGACAGCCAACTTTCCAGAAAAAAAAATGCTTCCGGAGTCGGGGTCCTCACAGAAAACCCAAAAACACTTTTTTTTTTTTTTTTTTTTTCACGCCCGGGTACCCTGGGGGGCACGCCCAGGTGTGCAGCCGGGCGTGTGACAATCTTCCTAGGCTACAACCAGCATTTTTGCCATAGTACCAGAGAGAAAACCTCACACAACTTTGCAATCTGCTGCAATCGCTGGTACACAAACTGCTTATCACAGCGTCCTGACAGTCCGACTTACCGCCATACATGGGAGTCTGTGGCCTGCACTCTCGATGGCCATGCACGTCGCAATTAGCACTGGATCTATCGAGACACCAACACCTTGCCTTATCCCTACTTCACACTCAAAGCACACAAATGTCCACCAGCTCTTGGCAGAACAATCCATCCTAATCTGCGCGTCACTCATGGGCTTGTCGCCCATCAGTCTCATACCTGCATCACAGGCCCCCTCATGAACCTCACCCAAGCACAGGACTGGCTTCTTGCTCACTCAGCCATGCACAGGTTGCTTCGCTGTAAATTGTGAAGCTGTGTTATGGGATGCTGGACCTGGTTTCCAGCAGGTGAAGCTCCCCACCACCAATAGACTGAAGCCAGAGGCATCAGGAGTACTACTGGGGGATGCTCCTATGATCCTATCACCCCCCCAATAGCAACCTGAGCCACTGTTTAAGAAAAAGGAAGCAGCAAAAAACTTTGCAGTAAGGATACTACGCTTTATGAAGAAAAAGTCGCATCCGGCGCGGCTGGATTGCGCAAAGTGCTGAGGAGCTCATCTTGGATCTCAACTAGAATGCAATGCACATTTCCTCTGAGGTTGTATGCTACGCAACCGATTGTATGACAATGTACCCTAACCTGCCACATGACGGTGTCCTGACCAATATGCGGAATGCGGTTTATGAAGCACATGATTATGCCTTGGCATTGATTCCATATCCGGCGCTGCTGGATTGAGGAAAGTGCTGAGGAGGTCATCTTGGATCTCAAGTAGAATGCACATTTCCTCTGAGGTTGTATGCTACGCAACCGATTTTACGACAATGTACCCTAACCTGCCACCTGGCCGTTTGCTGACCAATATGCGGAATGCGGTTTATGAAGCACATGATTATGCCTTGGCATTGATTCCATAGGACAGAAGTCGAAATACAACTGTACATGACCGTGGGAGGTCCTCATCAAGGCGATTGGGTTGGGTTACTTCACATAATTCTGACACTCGTGGTGCCCGGTATAGAATAGCACCGTATAAGAAAAGAAAAACTGATGCAATTTGTCCAATAGTTACATAGGGTGCTTCCACAGGTTGGTTTGTGGTTGCTAACACTTAATCTTTATGCTACGGATGTCACCCTGCGTCGTCAAATTGTGGGTATCCCAATGAGCATTAACCAGACAATAAACAGCCCATCTTATGTCTTATTGGGACAAGGCACAGTTCATCGGTGAACTTTGTCAGTGGGATCTCCGCGCAGCTCAAGCATATGCATTAACATCTCGGTTTGACTGATGACATCCTATCTGGGAATAAATCTCCCCCCCACTTCTGGCGTGGTATGGTCCTGAGTGGAAAGACACTCTGAGCAAGATGGCTTGTCTAGGGACAGAGACACGACGACCCATCTTGCTCAGTAGTGCCTCAGTTCGCCAGACAGGTCGCTCCTCATAGACTGTGTTTGATAATGCTGAGGCTTGGACGTTCCCTATCGCACACTACCCCAGTGCTTCCTCCAATGGCCCAGCCCATCAACCTGCAGGCGTGCTCACGGGACAGTTGACGAGGTCCAAGCACATATGTAATAATACTATTGACCTTAAAGCTGCGGAGACTTCCTTGACTTAGGCTATGCTCATTAGGAGCCATGCCCCTGGTCGCCTGGCTCGAGGTTGGACTGCTTATGTGTGCGGCCTCTCGTGTCACCCGGCTTACAACTGGTTTCGTCACGTAGTGCGCTGGCCGCTTGCCGACCCCCTACCGATTGCCGATTCTGAGCACAGGCAGCATCAGCCCTCCATGCAGCCAAATGTGGTTGTCGCGACCCGGCCAGATCCTGGCCAACCATAGCCGACAACATGCCTGAGGTCGAAATGGCTGCAAGTGGTGATAGTCGCCGGTCAGCGTCCTCCCATTCCAGCGGCTACTGCTGAACATGTGCCCCTACAAACTGAACTCGTTTGCCGTCCTCTGTCCCTACTTGTCCCATCACCATCACCACCACCGCCACCACCACCACCACCACCACCACCCTGTTCAGCAGCATCTTCCAGAGCATCATCCTCCCTTTCTTCTACTTCACCTTCTTCTTCCTCCTCCTCCTCCTCTTCCCTTCCTTCCTCCCCTTCATTATCATCTCCATCATCGTCATCCCCATCATCATCCTCACATTAACGGTCAAGATCAGCTGTAACAGATGCCTCATCAACGCAGACATCCCCATCAGAGGTCTCGTCTGTTCCTGAACAGTATGATCGCCGCACCCTCGGCCGAAGTTAGACGTCTGCTCTGCGGGCATGCTGGCAACCGCACTAAACGACTTCATTACTCCCGGTACTCGCGAGTCAGGAACAACACATACCGAGTATGCTGTCCACAATGTGGCGATGGATGCTTACAGTGCTGCAATTTTGCGTGTGCACCAGACACGAGGTGCAGCCACCAGTACATTATATGCGCTACTAGCAGCCGCTAGGAGTATAGGTGCGACCCATCAGCCTCTGCTTCATGCAACTGATCCCCCCACTTCCGATTCACTTCGCCCCGACTGTCCCCCGTCTCCAAATGACATGACCCACCCTCTGACCCTTGATGTAACCCCCAACTGCCACTCCATAGTGGTCTGCTCGGGCGGCGCATTCTGAGAAGGTGAGAACTCTAAGAAGTTTGTCTATCAGCCTCTATCCGCTGTCCCTTCTTCGTTCCAATGCTCGTCTTCAACTTCTCTCCCTCCTCCCATGCAGAACTTCGCCCTCCCACTGTGTTAATCGTCTTGGTTTGTTTATGTGCCTGAACCTCTGCTTTTTCTGCAGGTGCCCGGGTTCAATGCATATGAATGAGCATCATTAAACCGCTAGCACCCGGCCGCAGCCTTGCAGAAACTTTTTGTCGCAACAAGCAAAACTCGGAGGAGTCGCGCCGCGCGGAGAGCCGTGGGAAAAAGAAATCGGCCTGCGAAGCGGTGCGGGTTTCATGCTGACACCTGCGGGCCGATGTGTGGTGTACTGGTGCTTTAAGAGAACAGACAACATATAGAGTGAAAGTATCCTGAGTACTGAACAGGACTGTCCCTTCATTCCCTTCCCCTTTTCTCTGCCTCTTTTTTTCATTTTGTGCAAGTGGGCCGTCAAGGCACGCAAGTGGGGATGTGGGCAGTGTGCGCTCAACCGCAATCAATGTGACAACCCTTGTACGCAAACGTCAGAGTGAAAGGAGAGCAGCAAGAAGACATACAAACTTAAAAAAAAAAAATAAATAAAGCAAGGACAACAAAGAAAAAGCTGCATAAGCACACGGATAAGGCAGTATGACGGCGAAGACAGGATTGCATGACGACACGCCGATGCCACTGTTTTTGTGTGCTTCACGATATTCGCAATTGAGATTTCTAA